ATACAGAGTCTCGCTATGGAGAGTCAAAGAGAGGGAAGTCGAGAAAATGAGAATCGCTAAAACGGGCGTTTTTGAATATCGCTAGAATTCACCCCATCTTTGGGGGTCGATATCTCGCGAACGGGGCGTCAGATGGGAAAACCCTTCAAATTAGTTTCTTATAATGATGTAAAGACCCAGTATACCAATTTTCAGCCAAATCGGAGGGGGTCGGGTTCCGAGCCTGGTACAGTTGACGTGGAATGACCCTAATACTAAATTAATTACGCGATTAAGCATCGGATGGTTATTATCGGTCAGGCAAGAAGTTAGCCTCACGTTTTCTTGCTTGGGTAAAGGATCAGAAACTAAAATCTTACGAAACAATGTAATTTTGAGTGACGTCTCGCAATGTGAGATAACCAGTAAATTTTTCAAAATACCATCTACTTTTGGTCGAAATGAGTCTATGAATTTGGAGTATGATGGGCTTAAGATCCCAAATTTAAGTATATTTGATGACATTGTGAATTTTAATATTAGTGAAATTTTGTTACAAAGTAACTTAAGCACCGAAATAGAAGGTTTAATTAAGCAGAACGCAAATCAGTTGTCCTTTGAAAAATTTTATGAAACCATAACAGATAGAATGAACACTCCTGTGTTTAAAAAGGAACACTTTGCCTTTGGATTTACCTTCTTTTTATTTATTTTATGTGCTACAGCACTACTCCTTTTGTATATTAAAATAAGAAACTTTTCAGCAATTAAGGTGACGAACGCGGCTTCTTCGCGAGTATGCCGGGAGGCCACAATTAATCAGGTAATTTTCTCCGAATTGGGACAGCCATATCGAGGTGCTTGCCTTTACCGGCCGGCAACGGTGTGGGAAAAATTGACCGCGGACAATTTTGTTACAATCGGGGAGACCGGGACATGAGACGTACGGAAGATCGGCGGCATGTTAGTATTTTTATGATGCAATCCAAAACAGAAACAAGTAGCTGCTGTCTATTTAATGCTGGTCATTCAGCAGATCACCATATTCATCATGGTGGAAGCAAACAGCCAGTTGTTTCTCACGCTGCTCAGGGAAGACGTCGACTGGGAAAGCTACCCGGACTATGGAAGCCAAGACCAGGAACCCAAAACGGGCACGGAAAACCTGCAGGAGCCCAAGCCTGACGCGATAGACCTCCGGGAGGCCAACCAAATAGGAGAAACGGAGCAAAGGAAGAAGAAAAAGTCGAGACATGGCTCAAAAGCCAAGAACAGCAGGGATCGAAGGAGAGCGAGAGCCTTCTTCCAACGGCAAAGGACTCGACCTCAATGGATTCATGTTTCAAAAGGAGTATAACTTTCAAATAATTTTTCTTGTTTCTTTATGTTTTTATTCCATTGTTGTTTCTTGTAATAGGTTTTTTTTAAGTTCAAATGGTTTTTAATTGTTTTATTATGTTCTTAAGTTTTAAGTGTGTTTTTTTTTCTTTTTTATAACTGTAGGTTGATAAGAACGGAGAGGGGTACTAAGGACTCAGGACGAGAAATCACAAGCTCAGCTACATGACAGCGTGACCTGTGGATTACGGCAAACCTGGCATTCCCGACTTGGTCTACAAACTCAGCCTTAGTTTGGTGCGGAACAACCTGGCAGAGCACCCACGCATTCAGTGACGACTCCTTGTCTGGGCCGTGGCTTCATCCATCAATGGACATCCATCCAGGGTGGGGTGCTGTTTTCGTCCTCACCGTCCGGACTACAGCTTGCGCCTACCACGTGGAGCAGTGAGAGCACCCATGCTTCAATCAAACCGCTGCCAGCCTAGCTTACTTACTGCACTCCTACGAACAGCTCCAGTCCAGCCATCCCGTACGAACTAGCCGTACATGGAAGCCACCCCAATTGACTACACCTTGATGCATTGGATATCGTCGCCGCGAAGGGCTGCTCAGCCACAGCTGGATCTCTCCTCTCGGGTATCCCGCTCAAACCGTCAAGTCCCCGCTTCGTCACAGCCAATAGAGCCTCAAGACCGTGATTCTGAAGTCCTGGATTCTCCGTGTCCTCAATCCGATATGTTTTTTTTCCTTCTCTCTTTTTAAAGTTTGTAAGGGTCTCGGAGCAGTCGGGGCGACTGCTGTAAAGAAGGGCATGTTGTGACTCGTTCATTGTCGGTGATTTCAAGCGAGATATGGCATTGTTGATTGTTGATAGTTTGTGGCCGTGCACCTCGCTTGACGTCATTGGCATTGAGCGGGGCCTAGTGCTCGTCTTTATAAAAGGAAGCACCGTCTGTTCCGGGCTCGTCTAGTCTATTCGAGTTCATCATCTAGCTCACCGACACCTCGAGTTTGGTAGCCAGCCTGAGTGTGTCAGGAGAGCATACTGTAAGTAGCCTCATTAGCAGCTAATACAAATGTCGCCATAGCACCTACGGTAGCCTCCTTATTCCAACCCCTAGTCCACAACAGGTCGCAGAAGTTCTCTAGCATGTCTAGCCATGTTGACAGGGAGACTTTGGCTTCAAAGGGTTTCAGGGTTCCCACATACGTTGCTGTGGTCGCAGGAAGTGTTCGGTTGGGTAGCTCTTGATTTCGATCGTTCATTTTTCGTACCTAAGGATAAGGTTTTCGACTTTGACGGGTTGCACGGTAGCCACGGCCACGCGGTTCACTTGGTTGGCTTCGCTTGACACGGTTATTTCGGTTTCTACATGAGCCTTGCAGTAAAGGTGACCGGCGCGGCGCGGTTGGTTGACAATAAGTAAAACGATTTTTTAATCCTCGTCGCCAATGATATATTTGGTGGACTTGAAACGGGAAAACAAAAAAAATGAATCAAACGAATGTAGAGATGACGAACCAACAGAGATTTTATTCAGACGAAATTGCTTAAAACGGTTCGACCGGTGTGGCGGGCAATTCAAACATAACATGGTGCGGTGGAATTCCTCACATACTTATTTGCTGACGATACAACACGCATTATATCTGGCCCAAATCTTGATGATGACTGTGCTGCGGCTGAGCACGGGGTGTCATCCTGGTGCGCTGTTAATGGACTTATGATTAATCAAGAGAAAACTCAGAGAATTGATTACAAGACTTCCCACCAAAAAAGCAGTCAAACTAATGATGACAGGAGCAGTAAATCTGAAGCTCTTACCCAGGTTAACTCATTGGGTACCTATTATAATAGATGAAACCCTTAACTGGTCACCACATGTACTGAAAATCACCTCTAAAATTAACTCTATGAAATGGGCACTCAGAAACTTGTCTAAAGTTTTATCTCTGCCATCGTGTTTAATGTACTATCATGCTAACATAATCGCACATTTAAGGTATGGCCTAGTTTTGTGGGGTCTCAACCACTGCTCAGGGCAATTATTTATTGAACAGAAAAAATTTCTAAGACTGATATTTAATAAACCATTTAATTCCCACTGTAAACCCTTATTCATAAAGTACCAACTTTTAACTCTTCCGTCTATTTTTATTCTAGACAGCCTAAAATTTGCCATTGACACCGGTCTGATTCGTAAGGACATGATAAAGAACATTAGAAACCCTATGAAATTGTTCGCCTGAAGGTTGCTGAACAGTCTGTGTCTCATACTGCCATCAGACTGTTCAACAACCTTCCCTTGAACCTGAGAAAAGCTCTTCAGAAATGAGAAGTAAGAGAGTTTATGGCTGGTCTAAAAGCCTTACTAGTTGACAAGGCTTTTTACTCCTTAAATGATTTTTTAAATAATATTTAACTGTAATTTTCTATACCTTTTATTTTATTTTGTAAAATTTTTTAATATTCTTAATGCTTCCCTGTGTTCTTACGTACCTATATTAAATTGATGTGTAATATTTAGGGGGGGGGTTGACAAGTATTATAGCCACAACATGTGGCATTTATGTACATGAATTATAAATAAATAAATAAATAAGCAATATCTACATCCCGAAAATCTACCGATTTGCCGTAAAAAATCGCAGAAACTTGATATACCAGGTCGATGTACCCACTCGTTGAATTTACCAATCAATTTCGTGAGTGCACATATGTAAAAGTCAATATGCTATAGTCATTTTGGGTGCATTTATCCTTCATGAAACAATAATAAGTAATTTCAATCCCGAAAAACCATCAATTTTTCGTATAAAATCGAAAAAATATAAATATGTCGACTCCCTGACGTGAAAATTAGATTCTACGTGTGAATATATACATACGTATCGATATGCTGGACAGAAACCATGTGTGAAAACAGTCAGAAGTCCGTGACAACATCAATTCAACAGAAAAACGGCAAAAATTGGATCGGATTTTAGCCGCTTTGCCCGCCCCTCCTCGTCATTTACGAACCGTTCCTATACTCATCTCAAAATTTTTCCCAGTGCTTTGTGTTATTGTCAGCTTCTACTCCATTTAAACCCCAGTTCGATGACCGAATCTGCTGCCCAAAAAGCAAGCCATTTTTGAAGGGTTCTAAGGGGAAATTCGTGATATTATTGGCTCTCAGGAAAACTATGGAGTCATTTTCTTTCGTTCCATCGTCGTCAATATTCATAATGGCCAACGCCAATCCGCCATAACACGTGTGATGGGACGAGATAACACCTGACAGGATAAGACCAGATAATAATCGGCGTATTTACGTTCATATTGTCCTTGCCCACCTTGATTGACTTTGAACTCTCCTCGAATTACGCGCGAACTGCGGAGGCGTCGGCCATGATGAATATTGCCGACGATGGAACGGATAATATGTTCACCTGTGCCGTATGTTCACCTAGTATCGTTTTTGAAGAGGGAAACTCAAAAAAACGCAAATTTCTCACGATGAGTGTAAAGTTAAGAGTGCATTTCAAAGTTTGCCGATGCGCTCATCGTGGTTTTTAAGGCATTAGCTATAAGGGAAAACTCTTATTATTGCTGTAGCAAAAGTTTGCAACAGGCCCATTGCCACATACTCAGCTTCAGAAGTGGTCAAAGCAACATTTCGTTGTTTCTTTGTTTGCCTCAAAACAGTATTACCATACAATTGAATGAAATACCCACTAACACTTGTTTTGAAGGCTCTCTGGTTCCTTCCGATGGTATAAAGGTTGCCGGTTGCCCTGATATTAATAGTATAATTCCTTGGCAAAATTTTTAAATTTAACAAGATCAGGACTCCTCTTGTTCTTTCTGAAGGGAAAAGGGAGAAATGATTCTTCTGGTAAATGAAATTTTACGTTGCTGAAATTTTCTGGAAATTGTTCCTCTCACTCAGTCTGCATAAGTTGCTACGTGGCGAGGCACGTAAGTGTCGCTGGTATAAAATAACACAAAATGATTCCAAATATAAAGAGTCTATTTGAAGGAATAGCTCCTAAATAAGTACAAAATAAGAAATTGCATGAGACTAACCTGGCATTCTGTGGGCCATCTTGCAGCTTGCTGCGGGCAGTCTATTTCTTTTGGCAACGCAAAAAGGTCCCGTGGTTCTTTTAGTTTGGCAACTGGGCGGAGAGTTCGACTGTCGGTATTAATTTCCACTTGGTTACTCTTCAGTGTATTTTGTAGAAAGTTGCTTAGAAAAGAACCTTAACATAAAAAACGTAGGTAATCAAGTCCAAGTGAAGAAAACAGCTCAATATTTAGGTGGAGTCGGAATGGGTGATCGATTTTTTAGAAAATTTTTTCCATTTTGAGTTTTTGGTGTCATTTAATTCAGCAAAGGTATTAACGCGTTTCATTTGAAACCATGACTGTTCAATTCTGTTCTCTCTACAAGCCAATTAGCCACAAACGGCAATTCAGTGACTCAAGTCATGAGCACCATCTTATAGCTTCATCCCTTTCCATTACAACTCCCCCGAAACTATAGGTTTGGGACAAAAGGTACATTTTTTCCAGAAATCTAGCATTAGAGTCCAAATAATTGTGTCTTGTCTCTTTTAGGTACATTACGACGATATGAGTCCGCAACCGCGTATCTCGGTTTGCAACGTGGCATAGACTTCCTGTCATACTTCATTTTTTAAATGGAAAACAACTCAATGGAAATTCCTAAAAACTACCGTGATTTTTCTTCCCTCTATAAACAAAGAAAATTCTGCGGAAACCTCAACGAATGATGTTGCTTTCTTCTCCTTTCAAAAAATAAAATAAGAGCAGAGATTTATTCAAAAATCGCAAACGAGATAAGTACCTACGTGGTTGCGAACTTACACCGTCGACTAGTTTTCCTCGCCACTTTAACAACCGCGGGGTTTTCTCAAGATTGTGAAGAAAATATTGCAGAGAGATTCAGAATTGAAATATTTGAAACTAATCCTCCCAAAAGTTTTCAAAAACGTGCTTAAATTATAGAA